GTGGCTGCTGATCCAGCGGCTTCCAGGAGTCACTTCCCTGGCCTCCCTGCTACTGGCCCCTGTCCTCGACTCATAAGCCTGAGCGGCTTCCTGCCTCCCTAACCAGTCCTTCTCAGTGTTTTCCATAACTCTGCACTCTCCACCCTCCCCTTCCATGATGATCTCACAAGTTCTGCCTTCACCCTCTTACCCTCACCCTGCCTGTGAGGAGATCTTTTTTCACTCTTAGCACTTTCACTGTCAGGGATCTTATATTTGTATTCCCAGCTTCAAACTGTTGATCCCTGGACTTAAATATCTCCCCAACTGCATACTGCACCATGTTCTCCTTCTGAAGATTCCCAAAACATGCTGGCCATGGTGGCACTATGGGAGGCTGAGGCAGGAGGAATGCAAGTCTGAAGTCAGCCTGGACAACTTAGACCCTGTCTCAAAATAAAATTTTAAAAGGAGTGGGGAAGTAGCTCCATGGTAGAGCACTTGTCTAATATGCGTGAGGTCTTGGATTTGATCTCCAGTACAGGAAAAAGAAAAATGATGCCCCAGACACTAGGAATCTACAAGCCAAAACTGAACCACTTTTTCCTCACATGTATTTTTCTCCATTTGTACTATTTATTTGGGAATGGCATCATCAGTTATCTGGTCATTGAAACCAGAAACCCGGGATCAACTTGACACTCCTCCTGTTCACTTCCCATATATAATTATCACCAGGTCCCATTAATCCTTCTTCCTAGGATTTGGTGCTCACCATTTTTGCCTGGGCTATTACAAAATGTTCCTAACTAGTTTCTGTGGACTTTCATGATTTGGCAACAGAGAACAATGTGGGCTGGTTTTTTTTGGTACTAAGAATTGAACTCAGGACCTTGCACTTGCCAGGCAGGTGCTGTGCTGCTGAGCTCTATCCCTGGCCTGGCAGCAGAATATAAGCTGCATGAGGGCAGGCTTTCCTGTCTTTTTTTTTGTACGTCTCACTAGTGCCTAAAACAGCGCCTGGCGTGTAATGGGCGTCCCACTGAGCCTGTTGAGTGAATGTGTGAGTCATGTCAGTAGGCCACATTTCCAGCCTCACTTCCCACACTGTACGTCCTCACCCAACAGCCCTCCCTACGTGTTTAGAGTTCTGAGCACACTTTTTTCTTCTGCCTGCGCATACTAGGCTCACATGTACTCACCCCTGAAAGACTCAGCCCCACACTGTCACCCAAAGGAACCCGTACTTTGCCTAGTTTTGGTAAGTTTTCCTCCTCTGTGGTTCCAGATTCTGCTGTGTGTACCTCTAAAGTAGCAATTATGTTGCTTCCTTGTACTTGGTGACTTATACTGACTACAGGCTATCTGAGGGCAGGGTTTTTAACCGTGCCATCTCTACTTCTATAAATAATACTCTTCCTTAAATTAATACAAACATCTCTATCTCTTTTTTGTTTTTTTTTGTTTTTGTTTTTGTTTTGTTTTTGTTTTTTTGTCTTTTTGAGGCAGGGTCTTGCTATGCAGTTCAGGCTGGCCTTGAGCTCACTTTGTAGCCCAGGCTGGTCTCGAACTTGCAGCGATCCTCCTGCCTCAGCCTCCTGAGTGCTGGGATTACAGGCGTGCACCACCACGTCCGGCAGAAACATTTCTATCTCATCTGACACCACATTTTGTTTTTTCAAGCTACACATGGCACTTGGTATTGGTCACGTTTAATTATTTGAAGCTAGTTAGTGAATCCAGTGCTGTTCCTCCTCCTCCTCCTCCTCTTCTTCTTCTTTCTCTTCTTCTCCTTCTCCTTCTCTCTCTTCCTTCTCTTTGCCCTCCCCCATCCTCCTTTCCCTCCTCCTTCTCCTTCTTCTTCTAACTTCTTCCTTCTTGTCCTTCTTCTTCTTCTTTTTTTTTTTTTCCTTCTTGTCCTTCTTGAGATGGAATCTTGCTATATTGCCCAGGCTGGTCCTGAACTCCTGGGCTCAGGTTATTCTCCACTTCAGGTTCCCAAGTGCTGAGATTAGAGGTGTTACCACTGCTCCTGACTTATTTATTCTTTGTATATATTATTTTGTATGTATGACATTTTTAAATTAAAATAATATAAAATTATTTTTGGATGACTACACTTATGTGCAAGTCCCTATATTAGATTTTAGGATCACAAAGCTATAAAAATACAGAATTTTTGTTTGTTTGTTTTGAGACAGGGCCTCACTATGTAGTTCAGGCTGGCCTTGAACTCACTGTGTAGCCCAGGCTGGCCTGGAACTTGTGCCCAATCCTCCTGCCTCAGCCTCTCCAGTGCTAGGATTACAGGTATGTACCACCATGCCTGGCTAGAATTTATTTTCAAGTTGCTTATAGTCTAGAGAGAAGAAAAACTTCTATATATGATATAGCATTTTTTACTTTTATGTGTCTGTGGTACTGGAAACTGGACTTGAGTTTTTGCACATGCTAGACAAGTACTGTACCACTGAGCTATATCCCCAGCCCTTCTAATTAAAAAAAATTTTTTTTTAAATAGTGGCCAAGTTTCACATTTATTAAAGGTAGGGAAAAAACAGATGGGTAAGAGAAAAAGAGGCACTACAGAGTGAGTTTGGGCAGAGTAAAAAGGGATGAAAAAATAAAAATGCACCCTACTGTATAGGGTGGGCTATTGTTAAGAGGCGTGATAGCTTAATTTTTAAAATTTTGAGACAAGGTGTTCCTAAATTGTCTAGGCTGGCCTTGAACTTGCAATCCTCCTGTCTCAATCTCCTGAGTAGCTGGGATTACAGATATGCTCCACAATGCTGAGTATGCTTTTATATATGTGCTACATATGGTATTCCAGAGGGTAACTGGGGGAAGTCAGGGAAGGCTTCACAGAGGAGGTGTCTGTTGAGCTGAGAGAAAAGACAGTGCCCTGAGGCATGCAAAATAGTGCATATTTCTATGGAATGGTTCTATTATCCTGGAGTATGAAGTTGCTCAGGGTGGTATGGAAGGTGGAAAGGCAGGCTGGGGCCAGATAGTGAGGACTGTGACTGGTTAAGTAATTTGCACTTCAGTTTCTGTAGGTGACTGGGAGCCATAGAGGTTCTATAAGTGGGGAATGATGTGTTCGGATCCATCCTTCTACCACCAAATACTGACACAGGATTCCAGTTTCCTGCCACTTTCCATTTCGCTCAAGCCTATCCAGGTTTATCTGCCTCTGCACAGATGCTGGAAGCAGGGCGGGGACGAGATGATCCATTACAGGATGGAAGTTAAGTAGAAAGGCTGAATTGCCAAATACCACGCAGTGCACAGGAGGCAGAACTAGAGTGGGAACCCAGCTGTCTTCCCTCCCCGCGGTGCAGGGCACTACCCTCCCCGCAGCTCCTCTGGTTCAGGGCCATGACTTGGACACTGGGTGAAGTAAATCACGAGTAAGGAAGAGAAACGGCTCCCAATGCCTGTGGGAGTCACAGCGTGAAAGCGTAGCTTGCACACCAGAAGGACATGCTGAAAGGGCAGAGAAGGGACAGGCTGGAGACTTTAGAAATCCACGTGGAAGGGGCTGGTGAAGGACCGTGGGCTTCATGGAGGAGGGGACTGTGGAGTACCTTTGAGAAGGTGGGCAGAACAGAGCTGGGGAGAAAGGAGGCAGAAGGACCCATGGAAAGTGTTGCCGGTGAGAAAGAACAAAACCCACACTGCTGTCCTCACGAGTGCTTCTGGTCTGACAGCTTCTGAGTCAGTGGTCTTGGTGCTGTTAGCTACGTGGCACTTGGCAGTGTGGCTTGGCAGAGGCCATGGGGATGGGAACACGGGGCCCGCGTCCCCGTTTCTGTCTCTTGCTCTTCTCTTGCACTAGGGGGCCACCCTGGAAGCCAGAAATGTGTGGGTCCCAGCTTCTTCCCTCCCAACCTCCCCTAGACATAAATCACAAGTGATTTCATTAAATGCACCTCCTGCTGGGGATGTTGGCTCATAATTCCTCTCTGATTAACCCCCACTACCCCGGCAAGTTTATAGGCCAAGAAAGGGAGGGGGAAAAGGGGAGGGTAAAAGGAGGGATGGGGGAATCCCAGGCGGGTGATGGATGCCTCTGTCAGCCCAGCTCGTATTTATTAATAGTCTTAATACGGGAAGCAATAAAGGAAGAGAGGGATTCTATTAATTAAATCATTGTTATAATTAACTTTCATTAAAGGAGGATCAATAAAGAGGGGTTGAGATGGAGCGAGGAGAGATCCATTATCTCTAATTTCCTTGGAAGGGATTCAGGGAACGAGATGGGTTGCTAGGATACAGAGATGTGAGGGAAGAAGGAAGGATGTAAGATGTCATCCAGGTGGGGCTGAAAGGTTTCAGGTGGATGGAGAAAGGGAACAGGGGTGGGGGTGTCTACCCAGGGGCCCCGGAGGGAATGGAGGGCACTGGTAAGGAGCTCTTGGGGGGAGAATAGGGGGGCCCTGGGCACGTGGCTGGGCAGGGCACTGCTGGGAGACGTGGTGAGCACGCAGGTCCTTAATAAATGCTTTATGATGCTGCGGATGTGTCTGTCTGGCCCGTGAAGCTGGTTAGAGTGGATGAATGTGTTTTGTGATGTGGACTCAGAGTGTGCACACAGGTGTGTGAGAGGGAGGCAGGGGGATGGGATAGAAAATGGCCTTTGGAGGTATGGGGCTTTGGGCATTTTTCACTATGTGAGTACTCAAAGGCACACACTTGACAGGAGCCATGCCTGGCCTCTGGCCCCAGGCACAGTGACAGTGGCTACATGCAGAAGCCTCACGCTCTTCCCTGGCAGGCCCCACTCCTGGGGGTCCACGGTGAGCAGAGCCCCCAGACCGGTCAGTCTGCTCCCTCCCGCTGCAGTGCACTCCAAGCCGGACCACCGAGTCCGCGAAGGTCCTTTCCTCTTGGAGCTGAAGGCCCACAGGGCAGGAGGCACGGTGGGAAGACAGCTGCCCAGCAGTGATCACCTCCCTCCGACCCCCCACACACATTCAGGGAGTCTTAGCGCGTAAGAACACATTTTATGACAACAGTTACACTTATCATATAAATATATTTGTCCAAACTACAGATAAGAGAGGACGGGTATGGGAGGAGGGGACGCTCTTATTGCTGTGGGGCCTTTGGGAAGGTAGGGCCGGAAATGAGGACGTGTAGGCTCACTCCCCGCCCCCCACAGAAGGCACAAATACGTTATTTCTTTTCATGTGAGGATACAGGGGTTTAGGGGGGCAGCAGGGAGAGGCAGGAGACAGTACAGAAAGCCTTAAAAATACAAAAGAAACCTCCATATTACCATCTAAGATATTACTTCTACAGAAAAGGCTGGGTGGGGTGCGGAAAGCAACCAGGGAACAGAAAGAGGAACCCTCGAAACTGAGAACCAAAGAGACCTGGACAGGTCATGGTGTCCACGCTGCTGCCTCTGTGCAGGCCCCAGAGAAAACTCAGGCAAACAAATACAAACCCCAAGTAAGAGAGGGTGGGGTGCCCCAGGAACTGGCTTTGGGGCATCAGAGAGTGTATCAGAAGCAGCCAGGGCTAGGAGTGGACGGTGCTAGTCCCACCGGTTTCCTCCGTCCTGGTTCTTCCAAAACCGCTTTCAGGGGGTGGTTTAGCCGCAGCTTCCAAAGAGGACCCTGGCCAGGACAAAAAGCCAGGTAGGAGAGGATGAAGTTAGCAAGCCTGGGATGAAAAAAGGGCACACAGGAGTGGTTCGTAGGAAACAGGGTATCATGGAGCCCAGTGGATGGAAAAGTGTATGTCTGTGTGTGTGTGTGCATGCACGTGTGTACACGTATGTGTGTAATTGTGCATGTACTAGGAAAGGTGACGTCACTCAAAGGTGAAAGGGTCCTGGGTGCTGAAAAAGAAGTGTCCGTCCATGTGGTCCTCCAGGGCATCCTTGTCACTCTCAGCAGGGAAGCGCTCCTTACAGATAGGACATTCCTTCCACGGCGGGGTGGCAGTGTCCCCAGCGCTGGCCTCGGACAGGGGATCCATAGCAAAGCCACTGAAGAGACACAAAGGGGGACAGGAGAGGATCAGTGTGCTCTGCTGCCTTCCTGACTTGCAGACAGCGGGACCGTGTGTCTGGGCGCCCAGATGACCCTGCTCCGAAGGCAGCATCCTGGTCATTCTCGGTCCCAGCCTCTTCTGCAGCATCTTTCTGCCCACAACACAGGGTGCCTTCGCTCTCCAGATCCCCCGGCCACTCTTCTCGAGGACCTGCTGGTCTCTGTAGCGCGGGGCCCATCCCCCAGGCTCCTGCGCTTCTCCCTCCATCTCTGTCTGCTGCCTAATGAGGCTGAAAATGAGTCTGACATCGTCCTTCATCTCCTGCTGCAGCGGAGGATGATAGCATCACCCCTCCCTTCCCTGAGCCCATCACACATCCAGGCAGAGCTGGGGCTCCAAATAAACATCTCTCTCCCCCATGCCCTGTCCTCCTGGCCCAGGGCACGAAGAGGAGGCTCAGCTGGATACCTGAACCCCTCGCTCTGGGAGAGTCCCTCCCAGGGAATCCCCGGGAAAAGGGTCAGCACCTCAAGTGTAGCCACACAGATGCTGGACCTCAGGCTTCTTTCCACTCCTATCCCTGGGGCCTGGGCCACCTCCCTTCTTCCCTCGAGGAGCCTAGGTTACCTACCTGCTGGCTGGGGAAGGGGGAGGGGCAGGAGTGAGGGGACGCAGGGCAATTTGGGCTCCATGGAAGATGGTGCTGGAACAATACGGAAGCCAGTGAAAGGCAGGGCCTTAGAGTACAAGGAGAAGATGAGGGGAGAGACTACCTGAAGGCATTTGAGATAGTGGGCAGTTTCCTACAGCAACCACACCTGTGTCTCTTTTGTTTTCTTTTTTGGCTGAGGCCAAGAAGGGGGCGGCTGAGGACAGGGCACGGTGACTGCTCACATGGAGCCCTTTCCCACCGACTTCCTCCCACCGCCCCTCTGTCCTCCCTGCCACCCTCACCTGGCCATGTCATAGAAGGCAGTGCCCAGCTCAGGAAGCAGCAGGTTGGCCTCCTCACCCCCGCTCTGCACAGCCGCCATCAGAACTGACTTCTCATCCTCAGCCTCCTGGGTACCACAGAGACATGGATGGGCTTGGGGGTGGTGCCCCCACGCGAGGGAGCAGCACCCTGGGATGGGTAGGGGGAGATGCCAAGGCTGGTACAGTGGGCAGAGGGCTGTGTGGGAAGAGCGAGGCGGGAGAGGTTCCGATGGGGGCTGGAGGCTAAGGGGAGTAGGAGCCGGGCAATGAGGCTATTGGGCTGGATTGGGGTTGGGGGTAGCATCCCTTGGTGGCTTTGAAGAGAGGCTGAGCCTGCTTCTCCCCCGAGAATAAGAGGAACTTCGGGGACTGGAGGTGTAGCTCAATGACAGAGCACTTGCCTAAGCATGATAAAAACAAAAAACAAAAACAAAAAAGAGAGCCCCATGTGACAAGACTTTCCTGGGGGCTGGAGCCTCGGTGCGGCCCTACCCGCTCCGTCCTGCTGTCACTCTCACCGAGTCAGAGCTGCTGTCCTCCGCTGGCCCTGAGAGGTGGGAGGCAATGGGAGCTGGCTGACTGATGACGACGAGAGGAGAGGCCTCTCGGGGCCCGGGAGGAGAGGAGTCTGCGTCTCCACGCTCACACAGGCCATAGGGTGGCAGTCTCATGTCTTCTGGGGACTCGTCCTCCGAGTCCGTCAGAGCCGTCGGGCAGCCTGCGGGGGGGCAGGTAAAGAAGAAAGAAGGATGTGTTTGCTAGGGGCTGGGCCAGCTCCATCTCCTCTGAGGGCACGTTACACTACGCAGGGGCCAGGGCCTGGGCAGGGAAAAGGGCCAACACGGAAGGCAGAGGCAACTTCCAGGGGTGTCCATGGGATTCCCCTCAATAGGAGGAGTGGGTGAGGGTGTCGCCTGATTGGGGGTGTACAGACTCAGCCCTGCAGCGGCCTCCTCGTCTTCCGTGGCGGCATCCTCATTCCACTTCTCGTCTGCCACCTTCTCCAGGCGGGCCTCCAGCTTCCTCATGTACTCTAGCAGTTCCTAGAGTTGAGGGGGAGAGAAGCAGGTGGCACAGGCTGGAGAGATGCCAACCTTGCTGGCCCACAACAGCCTCTCCCTGCTGCTGGGTGAACCCGCTGCTCCTCAGGATTTGAAGCCTCCACCACAAGGTGGGGTCATGCAAGGGTCCCCGCAGCCAGGAGCCTTCCTGCACTCTGTACTTCCCTCTCTCCTCCTGGCGACCCTCCCCTGACCTGCCGGGTGAGTTACTACGAGGCGCTACAGCGCCTCTTTTAGACACTGGGCCCTCTTAAGAGATTCCAGTTTCTAAGGTAAGAGATGACAGGAAGGAAACGGAGTTTTGATTCTCCAGGTCACATGTCCTCACCTGCTTCTCAGCCTGCAACTGCTCCTTTTCCTTCTGGAGCACGCGCAAGGCTGACCGCAGCTCCGTCAGCTCCCGCTTGCTCTCTGACAGCTGTACCTGAGGAAGAAGGGCCGGTGGAAGCTGGGGCCTACAATGCGCCTCTAAGAACCTGGCTCTGGACCTGGACTAGTAGTGTAGAACCAAGTCTCCCCACACCTCGGTTCCTCTTCTGCTCAATGCTCTTCCTCCATGGGGCCCCTGTCGTGGCCACAGAGACTCAGTCTGAGTCCTAATCTCTGCCTCTCTTGTGTGGGCTTGGCTGACTGCCCTAGGCCGGTATGCAGAGGCCTTGGTCATACCAGGGGCCACTCTGCAATTCTCCTAGGCCCAGACGTGTGTGCCCTGAGAGCAGAGAGGGACACTGCACATTCAAACCAACGGAGGCTGGGAGGTGTGCGAGATGCCACCCAATGCAGAAGTGGGCAGCTGGCATTTCTGAGCCTCCAAGACACATCGAGGAACACTGACACCTCAGGAGGACACACGGGAGTCTGTGGTGGCTGGCTGCCTCACCAGGCTGGAATCCTTTTCCCGGGCCAGTTCTGTCTTGAACATTTGGTTCTGGGTCCTCTCCTCCTGCACTGCCTTCTCCAGCCGAAGGATCTCTGCACTCAGCTTCAGGATCTTATCCTTCTCTGCCTGGACGTCAGTGAAAGGAGAATGGGAAGGTAAGGGGAAGGGACAGGAAGGACACCAGGAACAGCACTACGGCGCACCAGATCTCTCCCCTTATTGAACTGAATTGCTTTTGGAACACTTTCCTATTCTTACTGCCTGTACCGCCAAACAAAGGACAGGACACGACAGCAGGGCACTGTGCTGATCAGGAATGGCATTAGGGCAAGGCCTGGTGCTTAGGGTGGAAATGTTTCTGCGGCAAGGACGGTACCTACGGAATGTGCTGCAGTGATCAGCGATCAGGACACACTGGTTAGGGCCCGGCCATGCTTTGAAAGGGAAGAGCACCTCCCTCTAGGCCCTGCCCGTCCCCACGTGCTCTAAGACTTTCAACTCCTCCCAGAGGGCCCGAGCACACGTAGGAGCCCCACAGAGGTGGGAATGGACCAGGAGACCACCCCTACCCTCTACCTCCACACTCTGCAGCAGCCCAGCCCGATCCTTGCTCCACTGGCACTTTTCCTCCTTCAGATGCAGAGTGAGCTCAGCCAGCCTGCCGCTGACCTCAGCCACTTCCAGGCGGCTGCGGTGGAGCTCAGCTATAGTGCGGTCCCTGGCTCCTGCTGCGCTGGCCAGCTCCTCCCCAAGAAGGGTGGCTTTCTGCTGGCTTGAGGCTGCGAGCTCCTGGGCCCCTCGAAGTTGCTCCTTCAGGGGCTCCAGCTCAGCCTTAGGAGGAAGAAGGAGATGGAGATCAGAGATCCAGTGAATCACATGTAAACCAGCCCTCCATCCTCAGCGTAAGGCCTCAGGTTATGTTGTCTAGTCTTCAGCCATGTCTTTCTCAACTTCTCTCTGGCCACCCAGACTTTTCTGCAGTCCTCAGTGCTGCCTGTTGCTTGCGACCCTCACTCACCACTCGCTGCTGGGCCTGGCCTAGGCTGTCCTTCATCTGGGCCACCTTGTCCTTCAGTCGCTGGGTCTGAACACTGTGCTCCTCTTGCCGACCCTTGGCCTCCTGCAGCTCCAGATTTAAGCGACAGTTCTCCTGTTGTGCCACCTGGAGCTCAGCCTGATGAAAGAAGAAAGGGGTAAAGTGCGAGGGTAACTAGCGAGAGAGGATGACCTCCGCCATTGTGATGGGAGAAGTCAAGGTCCCATTTCTTGCATTTAATGCAAGTTCAAGCACTCAGCTCTTGGTAGCTCTTGTGTTCTCCACTCAAAGGGCCTCTACCCTGAACGTCCAGTCTCTATCTCCCAAACAAAGAATCCAGCACCTTAGCCTGGAGTCTTACATGTAGATATCCCATGTCACACTTCTGTTTTCTCTTAAGTCAGCCACTTTCTCTTTTCTATTATTGCCACAACCACATTAGCTCAGGTTCTCGGCACTTCTTGCTTGGGTGACCGAATAACCACACAATTAGTTTATTTTCCACAAGGTAAGCAGATTAATCTTTAAGTACGTCATTCTGGTTTTTCTGTTTTTGTTTTTGTTTTGGAGGCAAAGTCTCACATGTAGTCTAGGATGGCTTTGAACTCGCTTTGTAGTCCAGGCTGGTCTCAGACTCATGGTGATCCTCTTGCTTAAGTACAATTCTTTAAGTATGTGTCATCCTTACTCAAAAATGATCAGTGCTTTTCACTGCTTAAAGAATAGGCTAAGCCAGGTGTGGTGGTGCACACCTGTAATCCCAGCACTTGGTAGGCTGAGGCAGGAGGACTGCTGCGAGTTTGAGGCCAAACTGGGCTACAAAGTGAGTTCAGGGCCAGCCTAAACGGCACAGTGGGACCCTGTCTCAAAAATAAACAAATAAGTAAATGAGAACAGGCTGAACTCAAGCTTCTCTACAATGGGACCTGTGCCACATCTCTTGCTCTTCACACATTCAATGGCCCTGAGCATCTCGGCCTCTAAACCTCTGCTCATATTTCTCTCTACTCCTAGAATGTTCTTCCTCTCATCTCTGTCTACTCAAATTCTACCCATTCTTCCCTGCTGAGTAAAGGGATTTCAAACCATCTTCGACAGAGGTGCAGGTTTCTGAGGAAGCCTGAAGGGCTTCTATAAAGTTGAAGCATTCTATAAATATCTGATTTGAACTTGTTCTTTTTTTAATGCAGTTTTGGGGAGCAAACCCAGGGGTAAGCAAACCCTCTACCCTTGAGCAAATCCTATACCCCCAGTGCAAACTTGTTCTAAATTATTAAAAATTATGTTTAAAAAATCACATAAACTTATAAATCAACATACTGGGGATCACCAACTCATTGATATACGCTCCTAGGGTCATATGTGTAAACCTCAGATACACTGGTTAGGGCCCGGTCATGCTTTGAAAGTAAATAACACCTCCTTCTAAGCCCTGCCCCATTCCTAAGTCTGTGTAAATCTCAGAATAAAATTCCTACTGTATTTTCTATTGAAATGAAGAGTAAACTCATCATTTTCACCTGCCTGTGTGTGACTCAAGGTATTCTCAATATTGTATAATCAAAACAAAAATACAGATTATTTTTGTGTGTGTGCTGCTAGGATTGAACCTAGACCCTCAAATCGCAGTATCAAAACAAAATACAGAAGTACATTAGCCTCTACAGCTGATGAGCAGTCATTTATAATCCTTAATGTAAAAGTTTGGTATTCATCAAAATTATTTCATTGCTTTCATTACATTATAAATAAATGTTATATATTTGAATTCAGAAAAATCACCTGACACTATACTGCTTTTGCTTATTCAGTAAAGTTCCACACAAGATGCAAAACCTCACTGTCAGGGAAAGAAAGGGTTCTGTAACAAGGTTCAGAAGTATTAGGCTAGTCCTTGCCCTCCTTTTTTTTTTTTTTTTCTGGTACCAGGAATCGAACTCATGACCTCGCGCTTGCCAGGCAGACGCTGTGCCGCTGAGCTAAATCCCCAGCCCCCTTGCCCTCCTTTTAATAGCCTTTTCTAATGACTCTGACAAAAGCTCTCAGCTACCTTTCTGGGGTACCATAATCCTGAGTTAGCTTTCCCTTGTGACATCACTTGTATTTCACTTGGGTGAATCCTGACTTAGGTGTGGATAGTGTGTGTGGAGTACAGTGCACACAGGGTCTTTCCATTTTTATCCCTGCTGGTGCCTGGCACTCAGGAGGGATTCAGGAACACCAGCTGAACAACTGAGAATGCAAACTAGCTGTGAGTCCCTTACCTCACTTTGCTCCTTGTCTGCTTGGACCTCCTTCAGCTGTCCCAGGAGCTTCTCCTGCTCCCGAGTCAGGGCCTTCACTGTGTCTCTAACCCTGAAAGTAGGGGACAACATGTTAGATTATCTGGTCACTCAGAGAGGACCCCTGTCCTCCTTTCACCGGTGTTCCTCTAGGTCCAAGCCTCTACCTCATTCTGGGATGCCGAAGTCGTCATACCAGAGGACCCAGTTCTAAGTCTCAAAGAGCCAAGATTCCTGGTTCTACAGCACAAGCAAGACATAAACAATGTAGACACATCACTGTGTGTGCGTGCAGTGGCAGTGGTGGGTGAAGGTGGTACTGGGGATTGAACTTGGGGCCTTTGCACTGCGGTACATCCCTGGTTCTTTTTTTGTTTTTCATTTTGAGACAGGGTCTTGCTAAGTTCCCAGGGTTGGGCTTGAACTTCAGATCCTTCTGCCTCAGCCTTATAGAGCGCCCAGTTCATGGTGGTCCAGGCCTAACTTTTATATATCATTTTAAGGAATGCCTTCTGATGACTCTCTGGCTGTCTTTAATCAAGAGACTAGAATCTAGGCTCTTTTAGACAAGCAGCAGTCACTGATTATAATTGTTTGTTCTAGTTGGATGTGATGGTACATGGCTATAATTCCAGCACTCTGGGACTGAGGCAAGAGGACTGCAAATTCGAGCTTAGCCTGGGCAACGTAAGTCTAGTAACTTAGTGAGACCCTGTCTCTAAAACAAACAAACAAACAAACAAATAAATAAAAAAATTTGAGACCCTATCTCTAAAATAAATAAAATGAATTTTGTTCTACATCAGAAGTTGGCAGACTTCATGTGTAAACAGCCTGATAATAAATTATTTTAGGCTTTGCAGGCCATGTGGTCTCTGGGGCAACTACTCATCTTTGGTACTGTACCCTAGAAACAGCTAGAGACCATGAGTAAATGAATGACCATGTGTCCCGGTAGAACTTCACTTATGAACACTGAGATGTGAATTTCATGAAATTTTCACATCACAAAATATTCTTCTTTTAATCTGTTCTTCAACCATGAAAACATGCTAAAAATCTTCTTCTTTGTGCGCTGTACAAAACCATGTGACAGGCTAGATTCAACACATGGGTTGCAGTACACTGCCCCCAGTCTAGCCAATCTCTAAGAAGGCAGGCACATAGTGTCTTCCTAAGGCAAGACTAGCGCATCCTGAAGCCTTTCAGATCAGTTCATTTATTACCCTGGCCTTGGGCAGAACACATCTTTCCTTCAAAGAATTTCTAAAAATATCAAAGCTCTCAGTACTATATAAGAGAAAATGACAGTATCTGATAAATGAAAGGACCGGAGTATTTAACCTGGTGAAAATTTGAAGGATAGAAATGGGAAGTGGCCAATATTTACACTATTTGGTAGAAATAATAGTCTTCTGATAGGAAAAAAACAATTCTATGTGATTCTAAAGGTCTACTCTAGGATCCAGGGGATGAAAAGGGAATTAAGATGTGTTGTGTACTTTTACTGACTCCCCACAATGAATGTTATAATTATATTCTGCAAACATATACTAATAAAAATAAGAATTAAAAATAATAGGACCCATTGGTAAATTATAGGAGGGTAAAGTTTGGCTCTATACACGAGACAGAAGTGACAGCTGTCCAGAACTAAAAGAGGTTGTCTCCTGATGGTGATCTCTTATATACCTTACATTACTTCCAACACTAAGATTCTATGATTTATGCCTTTATTGAAGGTGCAGTCTATACATTCCTGGATCACCAGCTCTAGCATTTCTTAAGAAGGGAACAGAATTTAATTGTATCTCTCCTGCGGTGAATCTGATATCCATCTTCTTTTCTCTTCCACTGACTACTCTATCCACGTTCTTCTTCTAAATCCTCCACTCTTAACTCTTCCTTAGCTTTTGCTGCATAGCATGTGGTAACTACAATTATTTCTGCAGGCGAGGAATGCAGAACAGCATTCAGAAAGATGGAAGAGAGCAAGGCAGAAAGGGATTAGCAGCAGCTGGAATACCTGAATGAGACTGGGAAGTGACAGACACTGGGTGAGATGGAGCAGGCTGGCTGGCTTGAAATAGGAGGCTGGAGTGTGGGGGTCACAGGAAACAAAGGACAGGGCCTCACCTGTCCAGCTCCACCTCCTTTGTCAGCACCTTCTCACTGATGGTCTGGATGTCATCCTCCAGCTCCAAGATGCGTGCCACATGGTCTCCCTGCTGTCGGCTCAGGATGTCCCTCTCCTCTGCGAGCTCCCCATGTGCCCGGGAAAGCCCCTGGAATTAAGGTTCCCACAGAAGAGGGAGGCTGAGGCTCATCTCTCAAAGACAGAACAAAGGCACAGGAGAAGCACACCAGCATTGGACCACCCTCATTTCCACCCCGTCACCTTCTTTGAAAAAGAAGCTGTACGGGACATTCCCTTATCTGACAATGTGGCCGCTTCCACCTTACCCAAGCACTCTCATGTTCAAAGAATCAGCTTCACTACAAATTTGAGACATGCCTCTTTTTGAATCAAGTTGAATCCCTGTTGGTACCCCTTAAACTTATTTCCTTGATAGCAGAACCATCTTAAAAAGTTCATTAGTATTTCCCTTTTTTTCTCTTCATTGGGTTCTGATTTTCTTGCTTTTCTTTTTCCTTTTTTTTTTTGAGAGACAGACTCTCACTGTGTAGTTTGGGCTGGTTTCAAACTTTCAGCAATCCTCCTGTCTCAGCCTCTGGAGCGCTGGGATCACAGGTGTGTGCCACCACATTCTGATTTTGGATGCTCGGTGAGCATGCAGGCCCTGTTCCCTCCCGGGCCCAACTCCCACCTTATACTGCTCTGTCAGCTGTGCGTGCTCCTGCCTGGCAGTCACCAGAGCTGCCTCAAGCTCTTGCACTCGGCTCCTCAGCTCTGTCACCTGCTCCTCCAGCTGCAGCTTCAGCTGCATCAGGTCATTCCGCTCTTGCTGACTCTCATCCAGCTGGTTCTACAGAGGGAAGGGGTAGAGGAGGGAGATGAGGCAGGATGGGAATGGGCCCGTTAGGCACCCACTTGAAGGCCCTGTCCCGGTACTCTCCGGGTGCACGCTGTGGCTGGGAGCCATGTCAGCACAGGTTATGAAGAGGTGGCCAGGGGAGTCCTGCCCGCGCCTACTTGGACATACCAGTCATGGCACTCTTCTGCCACCCCTCTTCCCTTCTCACCCTAGGCCTGGCCCCATCCTCACCCAGTAGCTACGAGGACCTGGCACAAGATACAGATGAAAGGGGCTACTTCCCTAAGTTTACCTTATCTGTTCTGGAGTCAGACCCACTTAAGTCACATCAGGAATACAATTTTTACTAGCCAGATGACTGAACAAACTGTTGAACTCCTGGAAGTGTGCTTCCTTATTTGTGAGGTGACCCCTTAGTCTGAGATGCAGCACAGTGCCTTTGCACTAAGCTAAGTCCCCAACCCCTTTATGCTCTGAGATAGGGTCTCAGTAAGTCACTCAGTTGTCCAGGCTGGGCTTGAACTTACAGTCTTCCTGTCTCAGCCTCCCAGAGGGCTGAGATTATAGGTGTGCACTATGACGCCTGGCTGCTGTGAGGTTTCAATGAGAATACTGAATGTGAAAACAGAGCTCAGAGAAGGCAGGAACAAGAGTCCTGAGAAATCCTGAGTTACTCTGGCCTGTGGGTGGTTTGCTCTCCCGCCTCACACATCTGTGTCTCCATCAAGGGGGAGACTTTCTGGAAAGCTGACTTTGCCTAACTCCTAACGAGGTCTCTAGCTGAGGCTCTCGATGAGGGGAGGGAGGGTGAAGGAGGTAGGTCCCCCCGCCTCGGGCCTGGAAGCACGTATCTTGCTCTTTTCTTACCTGCAGCACAGTGGCCTTGGGGACAACCAGCAGGATGTCAGAGCCACCATCAGTCTCCTCCAGGGTCACCAGCTCATCCATGGGCCTTGGCTCACGGAACTGGAAGGGGGGGCTCTGCCCACATACCCGGCCCTGGCGGTTTACGTATCGGAACTGGTAGAGCTGGGCTCCAGGTTTGGGCAGGTAGCTGGCTGCGGGAAGATCAGACCCAGGATCCCAGTATGATTCCTGGCCTTCAGGAACTAGCAGATCGCTTTTCTCTTTAGTATGCCATGTTTTTCCATGGTTCTTGGCTCCAGCCCCTTGCTCTCTGTCCCATATACTGCTCCTCTCTTCTTCACCTCCCACCGGCGATTCCTGTTCCTTGGGGTCCTCTCTTCCCTCCTCTGTACCCAGCTCTTGCCTCCTTCCCAAGCCCACTTCCAGCTCTCACAATCGTAACAATGCTCGTTGCCACTTACTGAGTGCTCACCATGTACCAAATACTGCTGCGTGCTAACAAGTTTACTTGTATCATTTAAAATCCTCTTACTGTCCGTATAATCCAGGAATTCCCTTTTACTATTAGATAAGAGACACAGAGAGGTTAAGTCATTTGCCCAAGGCTAACCAGCTTATAAGAATGAAAGCTGAGATTTGAACTCAGATCTTTAAAATCTTTTGCCGATCCTCTTCCTACCCTTTAGTTGTATATGAGTTCTCCTTCTGCAGGTAGGTGGGAGGACCAGATACTCTCCTAAGATTCTTCTGTCTCTAAATCCCTCGTCCTGTATTTCCATGTCTGCTGAGGCCTGTTGGATATCTTCTAACTAGAGGCCCCCCTTTTTTTCTTAAGACAGGGTCTCACTATGTTGTCTATGTTGTCCCTGAACTCCTTGGCTCAAGTGATCCTCCTACCTCAGCCTTCCAACAGGCTGGGACTACAGGTGTGTGCCACAATGCCCTGCTCTTGTTATTATTTGCATTCACTTGCTCTCTACTCCCATCCAAACCTTCTTCTAAACCCCTGACCCCTCCCTGTTTTCCATCTTCCTTCGTACCTTGGAACTGGACACTGGCGTGGATGGGGGAACCATCAGTTGCACTTTCAGGCACCGAAGACCACACAAATGTGTGGTAATCCCGAACACAGGCAGCCTCCACCTATGAAAGCCCAAGGTATGGTGAGAGGAATTGTGATGCATCGACCCTCTATGGGCGGTGCAGGGCTGAAAGACTGAAGGAGGGTGCAGGATGGTGTTATAGCGGCACGGATGATGAGAGACGGGGCAAGTATGGGAGAATGCTAATCTGTCAGGAGAGGTCAAGGCTAAAATGGGAAAATGAGTTTTACTTGTACAGGTGGCTTCTGGGCTTGTTTCTCTCTTCTTTTCTATCAATTTAGGCTGAGTGTCTAAGAACCTAGTCCCTCTTTTTATTCCAACAAACCCATTCCCCATAAACCCAAGGCAAAAGAGGTTCCCAGGATACCTTAAAGATGCCAATCCAGTCACTGGCACTAGGCATAGTGCCCGGGGGGAGGGTGTAGTGACATTCCACCTTGGTGTTGGGGATGTAGGTCCGGGCTACATTCAGAAAGTTGACTCCACCCCGGGACCGAGCCCGGCTTAGGGTTGATTCCTCCATCCTGTCCTTGCCTTCCTATGAAAGAAAGGGTTGACATCCTAAAATCTCTCCACTCTACCTCCCTTCCCCTAACTCTCCCCCGCCCACCCTCAGCCCTGGCCACTTCACCTCAAGATGATGGCACACCCGGTTCCCAGCCTCTGAGTGTTACAGGACCTCTTAAAGGCATCACTCTTACCTAGTCATAGGTCTGTGCAAGTCAGTGCTCACCTTGTGTCATGCTGTCAACTTTCTAGATGACAGGTCTTTTCCAGAGGTCAGTTCACAGCAGTTTTTACTGCTGTACCAATTTAGTCTCAGTATCTGCAGCTCTGCCCCTCTCAGTCCCTTCTTTTTATTTCTTAACCTCCTTAAGCATTCTAAATTCTCTAGTCTCCATCTCTCTCTCCCCTCCTCCACACCTTTTGGCACTTGAAGTCAAAAACCAACCATGGAGTGGGGCCCATTCATTCTGAGCAGCTCTCCGTTCCTACTACTGAGCTTGTTGATCCAACTGTACCTAAGAATGAACTTTCGCTCCTGAAAGTAGCAGCTAGTCTCTGAAAGGAATGATCGAGTGGGGACCAACAGCCAAATCCTGACCCCTGAGCCCCCAGCCCACCTTCCCACCCCAGGTGTCTACCCCCACGAATTCTAGGGAAGCAGAAAGCTTCTGCTCTCTTCTAAGAAAGAAAGGAAAGGGGAGGGTATAAGGAAAGACAGGTTCTGTCTCTCAACTTCATTATTCCAGGAAGTCAAAAATTCTGGAGGCGGTAGCTTCAAGGGTGGAGTGAAACACTCAGCAGGAACGTGGTGGTGTGGGGAGATGGAATGCGGGGCTCAGAGCCAGGAAAGCCCCAGCCCTGGGCAGGGGACAGACTTGAGTGGAAAGTAAGGGGGCCACAAGAAGGCTAACTTTTTTTTTTTCCAGATCTTGCCTAAAGCAGGTCTAGAAACCTACTGGTCTGAATGGATGTTAACCCAGCTCTAATATACCCTCCTCATTTTCTCTTTGCTACTCTTAGCCTCCAAAGTGCTTGAATCCTGCCATCTGCCTGGATTGGTAGCTGAAAATACGCTGTAAGATGGGGTTGGGAGGAAGGGATGTTCCAAGTCAGCTGGAGAGAGTTAATTGGAAAATATGAGGGTGGGGTGAGGACAGATACCAATAACAACAATCAAGAGACCTGCTCAGCCCAGGGCTGTGAGCCGGCCCTCCTCTCATCTCTCCTTTCCAGCCCCTGAGCTGCTTCCTGTGTCAGCGCAGCTGATGCATCCAATCAGCCACCACCACTAGTCATACGCACGCCCCCCCAAACATCACAAACCCACGCCAGGCTCAGGGGGCTGGGGGAGGAACTTTAAAAGAAAAATAGAAACTCGATGGGAAAGGAAAGGTAGGCTAGCAGTATAAAAAGGAGCAACTTCTCCCTCCAAAATAGACACTAAAGGGAAGCCACTTTGAATTTTTATCTCTGAAAAATCCCTAGTAACATTAGCCCGTTCGTTCCAAATACAATTCTGGAAGGAGGAGTGTAAACTGTCTCCGAAGATCGATGCCAGGGGAACCTTCAAATACTTCCCACAAAGAAAACCCGTAACAGCTGCAAACATTCTCCATGCCTGAAAGTTCTGGCCACTTGAAGAGTATGTACTGTGTGCAGCCAGACCGAGACATTCACACGCAGCGCTCGCGTGTCCTGCTCCCGACCCTGCAGGCCTCGGAGCTCCTTGGCATTCTCCAACTCGGAAATTCTCCCCCCAGGGCTTCAGCATAGCATAGGCCTTTGGATTTAGGCGAGAGAGGGAAGGTACGTGAGGGCCAAATGTTGTCTGGAAGAGCAAAAGCCAAGATTTCAGCTCCTTCCGAGCTCCTCTAACCGTACCCAGCTTTATGGAGTAGGCCTCAGCAGAAAGTGAGGACAAAGAGGGGGCACCCCGACCCCCCGTTCAGGGCCCCCTTGAAACCAAGAACACCCACAACGTGGGGGTGGTTTCTCCAACCCGTAAAGTATTAAAACCCAAACGCTCCCTCATGTCCCTTCTACAGTCCCCTCAGATGGTCCTTCACAGACTGGAAAGTGGGGTGGCCCCCAGAAGATCCCCTCTCCCGCAATTAGGTCAAGTTTCTTACCCCACGGACGATCAGCTGTTCCCCTCACCTTTCACCAACAACAAAAACAGCACTCGGACTCCAGAAGGGGCGGAGGAAGAGCGCGCGCGAGGGCTTCTGGGTTGTGTGGTTCTTTCTCGGGCGACGGCCGCCCAGCCAGATTGTTTGGGGACTACACATCCCAGGAAGCTGCGCGCCAGGGGGCGGGACAGAGGGCGGGGTCGGCCGCGGCCTCCGCGCGGCATCCTGGGAAGCGTAGTCCTCACTTCCGTGACAGCCCACGAGGGTGTGGCCAGCAAAGGACTTCACAGCCCATGATTCTTCAGGAGGCGGGGGCGGCACTCGTGGAGGCTGCTGGTTTGTAGCGTGCATTGGTTGAGGGTGGGAGGGTTTGTGGCTCTAAATCGTTGTGCAAACCCTTTGCAGTGGGCAGGACATTTTCGGGGACGTCCTCTTCATTCACTTTTCATAACCACCTGTAAGATAAGTGTTATGCCCCTTTACAGACGAACAAGCCAAATGCTGCAATGGTTAAGTAACTGGTCTGAAATGTCAAAGTTATGAAAGCAGAATTTCATTAGGATTTCTGAATCCTTTGCTGCTATCATCGAAGCATAACTATTCACTACTTAGGGGACGAGAAACAAAACTAGTAGCAGTTTCTTTTTTGCTTCAATCTTAGGAACAGCTCTTGTAATAAACTATGTATTGGCACATGATTGGGCATTTTCTTCCAACTTGAAGATTTCAGTGACAAAGGGCCTGACGTTACTCACACACTTACACAGGGGTCCCTAGAGTGACTTCTAGGTCTAGGAGGAAGATGCATTACCCAAGGTGGGAGTCATAGAAGGAGAAGCATGGCTTTGAAAAGGAAGCCTAGTGTAATTCAGGCTGTGTCACAACTCACAAACAAGCCACTTACAGGGGCCTGTTTGCCCAAGCCTTTTAACTGGCTTAAGTTAATTAGGGTAACAATACAGGTCGTTGCTCTGGTTTTTATTTAGAAGAGGTGAAATATTTACACTCCTCCCACTCCCCAAGTCACCTCAAAGATCTGACCACCTCCTAACCCTTTAATCTGTGGGTTCAGAATTCTCTTTCTTCCAGTCTCTGTATTAAGCAATTGCAGTCTGAGGGCTGATTTCCTCTTCTTAGCTGCCTGCTTTAATTCTCCAATACACTAAGTTCAGGACTTTCTGCCTTTTTCTTTTTCTTTTTTTGGTAGTGTTTTTTCTTTAGTGACTGAATAGGGTGCCTGGTACCTACACTTGGGTACATTTCATGTGAAGATCACTTAATAAGTGACTGGGCTGCACAAGCCCTGAGATGAGGTGTCCGTGTCATTAGTCAGGACTTATGGTTAGGGAACAAACTGCTGGATGAGGAAATGGTTCAGGGTCCTGGTGTGGGCTAAGAGTGAGCCTGCTCAAGGACCCAAGTATCAAGTGTTCTTGGTTTTTGCCTCTGACCCAGAATAAAGATGTATAAGAAAACTCAATCTTAGTAGAACTAACTTCCATTTATTGCTTGCTCACAATGTGTTTAAACAGCCTAAAGTGTTGGGGATATAGTTCAGCAGCACAGCATCTGCTGGCAAGCTCGAGGTCCTGAGTTTGACTCCTGGTACCAAAAGCAAAACAAAACAAAATAAAACACAGTCTGACATAGTAGGCCCTATTATTATCCCTATTTTACATGTGATGAGATTAAGGCACAATTATTTGCCTGGGGCCATCCAGCTAGTAAGTGGTATAATCAGGATTCAAGCACAAATAGTATACTATATTCACACCCCAAAAATTCTGGTATGTGATATTAGCTCCCGTCATTGTAAGGAACAATACTGTTAACCAGGGGATAAATATTCACTGAGCATTTATGTACTCAGTACAAGGCACAAGGTAATGTGAAACTTGTTCATTCAACAACTATGTGTCAGGTACCATGCAGGGTATTCAATCACTTTTACTGAAAGAAATATAAAATATAGTTATTTAAAGATTAGATTTGGGGAGTTTGGCAAACTATCCAAAGATGGGGACTGGGCAGGGTAAGCTTATTCTAGGCTGAATTAAAGATTCTGAAATTCCGGTTCCCTGGAAGGATGCTTCCGGCGCACAGGGAGCTATGGGCGGGGGAGCGCCAGCCTTCGGGCTGGCTAGCTTTCTGCCTGCTGGCTCCCGGTGGGTGGGCCCCCAGCGCACGGGGAGCCTGGGGCGGGGAGCGCCGGTTT